TGGCTTAGATACATTATTTTCATAATCCAGAGGTTATAAAGACACACACACACAAAAAAAAATAAAAATCAAAAGGAGCAGTGAAGTTGTTCTTTGGGTAATAACCTAGACAGGCAAGGCAGAAGGCAGCACTGTAAGAATGTACATCTGGTTATTGTGGCCTAGACACAAGAAGTTACTACAGTTTGTTCTGGAAATTTGCTCAGGTTTTGGTTCGTATTTCTGGAGAATCCTGTGCTTTCTGGTGTTTAGAGTCCATTCTGGGCTCTTTTCTGCCTCTTATTTGCACTGCATGCTAGGTACATATATCCTTGCATTCTGCCCTGTCTTTCCTGTACTTCTGTTCAGCCCTGCCTCCATGGCTCTTAGCTGAATCCTGCTTGGTTGTATCTGGTGGTTGGCGGTCACTCCTTCCTGTTTTTCTGATCCTTCCTTTTACTCTACTATTTACTCACCTTGTGTTTCTGTGGTGGATTTACTCAAAGCTTTTCCTTTCTCTGGGTTGGGCAGGTGCCATCTCTTTCTTGTGGATGTGGTAGGAGGTAGAGTCAGATTCCTTGACTCTTGATTCCTTGCTATGCTTGACTGCAGCAGTCTCCAATAACTCAGTTCTGCTGGAACGTGTCATCCTTGGTTTCTCTGCAGTGGTGGAGTGTTCATAACCTTTTCATAAACAGGTTAATCTGTGCTCTGCAGTAAAGAAATACAGAAGTTAACTCTATAGCTCTTAACAAGATGCTGCTGAGGATAGCTAAGCTGTGACAATACCAACACCCTGCCCATCTTTTTTCTACCAAAGTTTGTGCAGAAAAAGTTGCATGGTAAGCTCAAGGATACAGCATGTGCTAGGTTTCAGCTCCTTTTTCAAATTTGTCTAATATGATAAAGGTGTTAAAATGTTTATAATTCATCATGAGTTCCAAAGGGGTTGAATCATCTTTCTTAAGCATCTGAAAAACAGAAATTGGTATCTTAGGAAAATTCTCCCAAAAACCAAGAGCTTGATTGAGTGAAGAATCCTGGTGATACCTATGCAAAATGCCAGCCTCTGAGTCTCATCTAAATAGCACCTCCCATTTATTTTCGATGTAATAATTTGAGAAATCTAGGTGGAGTTTGTTGTCACATTGGAAGGTTACTAGACTGTGCTGTATCTCCATTAAGTACTTGGGGTGACTTCCTTAAAACAGTTCAGGTACCTTGGTCCTGCAAGAATATGGATTGTGTGTTTGGGGGTTTTGTAGTAGGGTAATGAAAATGCTGGAGCCCCATCTAGTGCATGAACATCTAACACTGCTAGAGAAGTTATAAAATGTGTCAGAGTAGAGAGGATGAAAGGCAATCCCATTAGTGGGAAATTTTTAACCTTTTGTAAAGTGTCTTGCATTACTACATCTATAATGGATTAGAAAAGTATAAAAAGTAGTGATTAAATTGAGGTTCATTTGGGGAAGGTGGTTCTGTAAAGGTTAATCTTAATGTGCCTTAAAAGGAGTGCATGTGTTAAAAGATTATCTGCATTAGAACCCAAGTATGAGCAGTCCAAGTGAAGGCTAATTACAGTGTGAAAACATCACTGAAACACCAGGACATGTTTAGCACATTTGGGTGAGATAAATCTGAGTAAATCCAAGCACATTTGACCTTGCCGTGTTGCTTTGTTCAAAACCAAAAAAAAATTGTTAATAAACATAAAGACTGGGATTTCAGGTTTGATCATGCAATGTAGGATTGTGGGTGAAAGTTTGACTCCATGGAAAGTCAGCAAGGCTGTTGTTGTTAATTTCACTTTCATTAGCTTTCATCCCTGGATTTTGAGATTAATTTTCCTCAGAGAGCTAGGATTTGCTGTCTTTCTGTGAACTTGAACTTCCCTGCAAAGGTTCGGAAGGAAATCCTCTTAGAAAACCAATGTTGTAAGTATAATGGGCTGGCCAGTAGTCTCCCTTTTCTGCCAGAGAAGAGGCAAGTTGCCTTTGAGAATTTGCCAGAGTCTATTTTAAAATAAAATAAATACAGTGCACTTTTTGAACATCCTAAAAAGTGGGAAAATACTGGGTTTAGTCATTGTGCGTTTTGGATGCATAAATGATTCATTAGGAAAAAGAGCTTTTTTCTTCTGAACAATTCACCTTCACTGGTTTAAGTAATTTTGTTTCAATGATCATGTACATATTCAGGAACAATAAGATTTTGTAAAAGAATATGTGAAAGATTACTGTTATTTTAGGAAATTCAATGATTCACTGATTGTAGTAGTATAGAAAGCTACATGTATAGAAAATTCAGGCTTTGTGTGCATTTTTTACAATTATGCACCTAATTTGAGTATGAGTATCAATTGGTCATCACTGGTTTGTTAATGAGCTCTATACATTCACGTGCTAAATGCTTTTTTCGATAAATAGCCAATTGGTGCTAATAACCTACATTTTTGTTTGCAATTTAAGTCTATTTTGACCAGGCTGTTGTCAGAAATGGGCATAACAGTGTGTTTTGTAAGGCCCATGAGTTTATATAAAGGCTAAGAATATTACAAGCCTACTGCGGATGTTGTCACCCAAGTACAGTGTGTTGAAATACATTTATCTTTTTCAGTGGTAGTGACTAATATCAGCTATAGAGGATTTTTAATAACAAAAACTTCCTATGGTGATTTTCTTCCCTAAAATGTATTGTCTTTTGTAGACAGTTGTTTAAATAAAGTTATTTATTTCAGCATTTCATGCAGCCTGTGATAATTTGTTTTACAGAAAATAAGTTTTCACTGCAAACAAGGAGGCTTTTCTAAATGTAATCTCTGGATGATGAGAGATTCTTCCCTATTTTCTGGATTTAGGAATCATACACATCTCCGTAAAGCTTTAAATAGTGTAAGCACAGTTGTGCTGTGCCCTTCAAAGAACATCTTTTCAGCTTAGTGCTGAATTAGAATTCAAAAATCAAAAATTACCCAACTCAAACTGATATTTCATGAGGACAAATAAACTGTTATGCAAGTAAATAAAAAAATACATTTTTTACTATAACCTGAACAAATTATTTCTGTTGACCTCATCAAATTCTTGTATCTGCTGGAGTGCTTTAAAATAACAATCATTAAACCAATGCGTTTTTTTTAAATAACATAACTATAAAAAATAACAAAAAAGGAAACTCAAGATAATGCCCATTTTGCACATGAAACAAATTTTATTGTCTAGTTGTGCTTCAGCATGTTAATACACCAGTAGCTTGTAATGCAATACTTACTTACTTAATCGAAAGTACTGTCAAGTAGTGTTGGCCTTGAGGTCAAAATCTGTAATATGGATTGTTACGGAGCCATACAGTAATCTCTGCTCCCGCGTGCAGACAATAGGACCTTTTTCAGCATTGCAGGAACATTGCAGGAGGTAGTTTTGATACAACACAAGCAAATGCCTGTGGCTTATCAGGGTCTGGTAGGCTGCTTCTAAGCTGCTGTTTCTTCAGTATTCACTATTTTGTTCTCATAAGAGACATTCAGGAACTTCAAACCCTGATTCTACCGTTCTCAGCTATTGCTCCCCTCCTTCCCACCCTCTTCTCAAGAGTTTTCTGAAGTCCAGTTGTTTCAGTGGTCATGTTTACAGTGGTGTCCCACAAATACTTTTATTGATGCATATTTATGAAGTGGTGAGCTTGTTGCAATTGGGAATTTCTTAAGCTCGATTTGCTGCCAAATCTAGTAAATTGTTTAATGACACCTTTGCTAGCACAGTTATGTTACAGCTAATTTGAATACCTTACAAGGTAGGAGGCTTTCTAGTTGTCCCCTTGGAAAATGTAGTTTGTAGGCTGTGTAAACGTGTCTACAGACCTGTCAGAAATTGTGAGTGATACTTCCAACAATTTGAGTTCAAATGCAAGTCATGGATCTTTCAGTAACCTGTCATTACAGCTCCACATTTGCCCAACATGAAAGTGAGGGGGACAACTTGATACACAGTTATGCAGGTGACTGTGACTTTGAAATGTAGTTTCATTCATATATTGGAAAATAATTTATTTTACTTCCCCATTGTTCTTGCTGTTCAGCCTGTCCAAAAGTAATAATTTAGGGTTGGGTTTTTTTTTTTTTCACTTCTGTGGTTTGATTTGATTGTGATTACACAAAAAACTGGGAAAAAGGTACCATTTTTACATGTTCAGCTTTCAGTGTGTAGCTCAGCTTGCACACATTTAAAGGACAAAATTGAACTTCAGTGATTCAACCTAACCAGTCCTTTAGTTGCTGGATAAAATGAGTGCTGATATTCTAAAATAAAGCAAAAGTAAGCAAACAAACAAAACTCAGAACCCCACCACTTGCACCAAATGAGGTAGTTGGAAACTATTTTTATGCAACAAACTTCAAGATGTGTAAAAGTAACACTGGGAGTTAGATATTCAAACTTAGAAACAGCAGGAGCTGTGAAATACTATTCTGGATGTGCTCCATTTTATCACAGCATTTAAGAGATCTCAGAGTGATGACTGATCTTATTTCTACCAAATGCCAAGGTCTAATGACAGATCTGTTGTTGCTTAAGTAAATGTGCAGATTCTATATTAGGTTGGCGAATTTCTGCATCACTTCCAGAGAGTCTTTTTGTTGTTATAGGAATTCTAAAAAAATTTATTAAAATCCTAAAGATAATTTGTCCAAGTTTTACCATCCTGCTACAGTGGTCATAGTTTTTAATGTAATTATTGGGGGTGTGAAAGTATAAGAGTTTTGTGATCAAGGTTGATGTCAGCATTTGAGAATTGGGTTGGGTGATCTCTTTAATTTGAATTGATTGGCTATGGATGCTATTTGTAATTAACTGTCTTTTTGCTACATGTTATTTTAGGAGAATATAAATGGGAAAAAAAGTTGTTTATTTTAAGTGTGTTGATATCAATTTAAAACTTAAAATAGGTTGCCATCAAAGACAGTTCTGTGCATACACCAAAGCTCATGTGAAAAATGTAATGCGTTCTATTTCCATGTTTAGATATTGCAAATGGCTCCAGTTCAGGAGGATATCGCCCTCCTCCCAGAACAAAAGAAGTGATCATCAATGGACAGACAGTGAAATTAAAATACTGTTTTACTTGCAAGATTTTCCGCCCACCTCGTGCCTCACATTGCAGCCTTTGTGATAACTGCGTAGGTGAGTAAAAAAAAAAGATATGGTATATGTTCAATTTAGTAGCTTATATATTGTTACGAATACTTTTGATATGAGAGAGAAAGAGTTAGTGACAAGATTACTCAAGAGGTCACTTGCTGTATTAATCTTTCTTTCCTGTAAGCTCTGTTAAATGTTAAGAGTTTTGGAGGAGTTGGGAGATTTGGCCTAACAGATGGTTGTTGCTAATCTAAGGAAGAATATCTTCTGGTGCATGCATCTTTCCTAACCTGCTCTGCCAGACAAAGAACACACCCAGTTCAAACGGAGCGGCATAGTATGTGCACTGAACTTTCCAGTGCAGAGAGCAAAGCTTTATGGGAGTCTCTAGAGTTGTTTCCTTCATCAAACTACACTGAGGGCAAGGAAATGTTTTTTTCACTTCATTATAGGCTAACTATGTGTCATAGTTCAAATGGTTAGAGCTTGCACTGTGACCAGAATACACACGATAGGTGATTCTTACCTGTGAACAGTTTTAAGACTAGAAATCTGAAAGTCAGAATCCATAAGAAATAGCTGGACAAACATGCTATTTTGAGAGTAAGATGTTGTCAAGACCTAAGAATATTTTGTAATGACAGGTTGGATTTTTTCTTCTGAACATCTTATTTCATTACTCTCTTCTTTGGAGGGCAGACAAGGTGATTAAGATATGCTTGGATTTAAAAGCAAACAAAAAAACCCCCACCGATCAAATCCGAGTAGTTTCTAGTTCATTAGATCACATTAGAGTTCAGTGCAGCTGATTAGCACACTGTTGAGCCTGGATCCTATGCATTCAAGAAAATAATGTAGAAAGATGTCTCCAGATGAGAAATGTAATTGCAGCATTTAGGAGCATTATTTTTAGATATAAAGCAGTCATTGGAAGTATTACAGTTTCATGTTTAGATGATATTCATTTAGGGAGTACACTTAATTCAGAGTGAGAAATTTAGCCTTTTGGCCCTGTACAGTTGATTGGTATCTGTAGATGTTTCCTTCAGTAAACAATTTTTCTGATGTGTTAAAATTGAGTAAGTGTTGTAAAAGCTGTTGAGCTTGGCAAATAGGGATGTTTATGAATTGCAGTTGACACATTTTCAGAAAAATATTTTATCAGATATGTAACCTGGACATAAAAGTGTTGTATTGCTCAGCAAACCTGATAATATGAAAATGAAGTTGTTCACCAGTGCAGTAAATAAAAGTTTAAGGCTGTTGTCTTCACCAAGAGTGCATAAATAAGAGCAACTCACACACACACATCCTGAAGCTTATTTTAAGGTAATGTTTCAGGTTTTTTAATAAATTGGTATGAAGGATTTTGTTACAGATTATTCTGTAATCTGATGGTGTCCTTGTCATACTAAATTTGGAAAACATACTCCATGAAACATAAAATTAGTGATGGCAGGGAAACAACTCAATCCTTGCTTTCTGATTATGCCTGTGCCTGAAGCAACAGATGTGAATTATTATGAATGTAGATCAAAAAAGTCTGAGCAAATGACTCATAAGAGTGATAATTGTATCCAAGATTAGTCTTTTCTGCTCAAAAAATAGCTATGATCATTGTAATATCCTCTTGCACAGTTTTAAATTTGAAGTTATTTGTGTTAAAAAAAAAATCCATTCATTTAGTGGAATGAATTTGCTGTGTTTTTTCTCCTCGCCTCATTCTGCAATGGGAATTACAGTCAGGGTGCATTGGATAGTATTTCTGTTTCCTGATTCAGTACAGGTATTTGTCATGTAACTATTCAGGTCTTTTGAAGGAAAGAAGTGAAAGCTACAAGTACCTGCAGCTAATTTTCTGTGAAAAATAGATGTCAAGAAAATAATTTTGCTCACATATTTGTGGAGAACTAACAGAGCATACACTTAATCAGAATGTGTTACATAGTTTACCACCACTCTTTAAGTTAGGCTTGTCTATATGATGATGCTTTTATTTAATTTTAGTTTAAGAATAAATCTTATAATAGCAATGGGTGTTCTTCTGCCACTGTCGTTTGCTAGTTCCTTACTGGTCTAACTAAACTAACACAAAAATATTCCTACTTCACACACATACAGATGCATAAGTAACTTAATATTGCAACTCACTACCAATATGACTATGCATTCCTTTCTACCACGTAGTTCTGGAAGCTTTTGCTGCAGTTGTAAACTAACTACAGAGACTGTGTGATACAGGAATGGAATCTTTCTTCAAGCCAGCACTCACTACTTAAAAAAACAGTATGCTATTTTTTCCTAAAGGTGTTTTATGGTACTGGGCAAGTAAGTGCAGTTTTAAAGAGAGGTTCTTACGTTCCATGTTTTCTATTGATGCTTTTCATCCTGTAACGAATCCTTAGCAACATTTTAAATATGTGAGTACAACAATTATTCATTGTTGGCATTTTCCCTCTTGAATTGATCCTAATGTTCTAATTGTCCAGTAAGCATATCTGTTACTTATCTTATTTCTAATTTTAATTTCCTCATTATTTTTTAATAAATGACATGTATATTTAGATAAAAACATGAAGAAATAGCTTTTGGTTAAAAAATCAAACAAACCACACCAAACTGATTTGAGTTCTACCCATAATAATACTTCAAACTCCTTTAGCGTTACAATGTGTTCATAATGGTATCCCCAAAAAATCTAGATTTTTATAAAAATTTAGTTTGTTGCATTTTTTTGCATTTGTTTGCATATTTGATCAAATAAGTGTTCCCTGAGACACTGAGATACTTTGGGTGTATTCTTGACATGCTTTCTTTTAACTGCCTTAGTGATTGGCAGTTGGAAATTAGCCCTTCAGAGTTCTTCTGTGTACCATTATGTTGCTTGAAGATTATAATTGAATTTAAAATAATGTACACATAAACACAAGAGATAAAGAAAAGAATAACAACAGCAGACAAATTCTGAGCTCAGGCTAGTTATTGCAGGGTTTTAAAAAGAGGTTTTGATTGCACTGTGTGATGCTAGTAAGAAGCCATTGGTTGGCTTTGGTTCTGAAATGACCAAATTACTTTAAAAATTTATTTATCTATTTATGGTCATTTCAACACTAATGCTGTAATTTCCTTGTTTGTTTGTTTGGTTGGTTGGTTTTAATAAATAACTTTTGTCTTTTTTAGTTTAATTTCTATAATAAAATCATCTCCCTAATGGGGAGGACTCTTCATTAGGGACTGCAGTGATAGGACAAGGGGTAACGGGTTAAAACTTAAACAGGGGAAGTTTAGATTGGATATAAGGAGGAAATTCTTTCCTGTTAGGGTGGTGAGTCACTGGAATACGTTGCCCAGGGAGGATGTGAATGCTCCATCCCTGACAGTGTTCAAGACCAGGTTGGACGAGGCCTTAGGTGATATGGTTTAGTGTGAGGTGTCCCTGCCCATGGCAGGGGGGTTGGAACTTGATAATCTTAAGGTCTTTTCCAACCCTAACTATTCTATGATTCTATCTGACTATTTCCAAGCAATCTGTTTAAATATAGTACCAAATGACTAATGAGAAACAGTGAATAATAATTAACAAGCAGTAAATCAGTTTAGTCCAATAATCTGTCTAAAGTATTCCTGGTATTCACATGCCACAGTTTTGCTTATCAAGTGAAGTAACTGGTACACACTGAGGCAGAAGTCCAGTATGATGGAAGAAGAGATCCATTTATAATAATCTAAAACAATATGGCCATTTTATTTCTTTCATAATCTGTATGTCATAAATTTGTGTGTGACTGATGGATGAAAGTAGCTTCTCTTCTCCAGTTCCACTATGTTTCTTTCAACACATGACTTTTTTCCAAAATTTTGAAGTTGTCTATCACAACTTTTAAACGTTTAGTTTGACTTTTCTGGATCACCAATGAACATGAGAATGTCATACTAAGTTAGACCAATGTTTCAGTTTGTGTAGTAGCCTATTTCCCACCATGGCCAGAGAGGATACCTGGTGAAGAATAGGAGAAGAGGGCAAGCACTCGAGGATGCTTTCCATTGAATATTCTTATTTACAGCATATGCCTTCTTGAATCCTGAGGGAACATCCCTTTTTTTTTTAATAACCCTTGATAGATTCTAGTTGGCCTTCTTTGTACCTAATTGTACCTAATACAAACTTCTTTAGATGGGGAACCATAATGCCAATAGTGCTGAGGCACACATACCATACATTTTTTGTTTCTGTAGGAGATAGGATTCCTTTCACTTGTAAGTCTGGTTGCTTTTCTATCGATCCCAAACATGAGACCAAGTGTCAAGTTTTTGGCAAAATTTTTTACAGAAAATAGTCTATATTGGAAGTCAATAGACACCTCTTTTCTGATTAAATCACTGCTTCTGTAAAGCACTTGTACCAGGCAACTGTAGGTATTGTCTTTTTTTTTGGTATTGACTGGACTACATTAATTTATTGTTTTGAAAATACAATATGCTAGCACTCTTCTTTCATTACCTTATTATCTCCCCTCTTGTTTTCAGTTCTTTTTCATGACCTTTGCCTTCTTTCCTTACATTTCCTGCAATGAGGAGAATATAATTTTCACTTCATTTTGAACCTGTTAAACCTTGGTTCTGAATGTGCAGAAGTGACTCTGTAGCTGAAGAGTTAAAAACACAAAGTTGGCTGCTATGTCCTTTTTTTCTTCTTCTTTTGTGTATTTTTTCCAAGTTTTTACATGTGAGAAATGGCTTCGGCTCTTTCTATTTGTGCTACCTTTTGGGGCACCCAAGATGCTGCTGAATGGAGTATGCAGCATCACTTACAGAAGTCATATTTGTTTATGATTGTGCCATCTGTATACTAGATGTACGTTAGAAATTCAGGGAGCATGCCATGTTTGTCAGAGTTTTTAAGTCTAAGCCAAACCAGTGGTAAATATGGTAGAAAGTCTCTTAAAAAAATACAATAGTATAATAGGTTACTTCATAGAGAGACTGCAGCTTTTATATACTGGTCTGCATATTAAAAAAAAAAAAAAAGCAGAGATGATCAT